TAGGTTTGCCTCTTGAGTTCGCGCTTGAGTTCGCTGAAGTGTCGATCCGGTCGAGTTTCCTCTACCCCATTAGTTCCCAAACTTTTCCAGGCTGGCGCCCCCTTTGGCTCCCTAGTGAATTTCTAGCGCCCCCCACAGACGCATACAAAAACATACGCCTCTTTCTTGAAATTTAGTACGCTGCAATTTTAATAGATAAATGTTAAACACAAATGTGTATTTCACAAATAGAACCCCGATTAGTGAAACAATATATTTTTCAGCTGTTTTAACTGTTTCAGCACTAGAGACCTAGGACGGAGGTCGCGGGCGAATTTACGGCCGGACTCGTGGCCGGTCTCACGACCAATCATCAAATTCAATTATCAAGTAATATCTCCCAAACTAATGAACGCAGCTCAATGAAACTTGGGACATGTATTCATCAGAACCTAACAGTGATGTTTAGCTGGTGAAATTTTTTTAAATTTCGCCTTCATTCGTAAGTTATATTGCGATACAGGCCGAAATTCGCAGTGATCAAAGAATTTCTTCCAAACTACTGAACAGATTTGAACGAAATTTTTGAATATACATTCCTACCTAACAAACGGTGAGTTTTTAGCTTCTAAAATTGTTTGATATTACCTTTGTTTGCGAGTTTTTTTTTATTTCACCGTCATTCTTGATTTCACACTTCCTTATATTCGGCCATATCGCCGGGTAATTTGTTGCTTAAATTCGCGGCGATCAACAAGTTTCTTCCAAACTACTAAACAGATTTCAACGAAATTTTGTATATAAATACCTAACCTCCCAACGGTGATGTTAAGCTTGTGACAATTTTTATATTTTGCTTTTGTTTGCGAGTTATACAGAAGAAATTTCCAATAATCAAGAAATTTCTTGATTGCTGCGAATTTAAGCACGCATTGCTGTCTAAATCACGCATGAATGTGAAATGAAAAAAAAACTTGCGAATGAAGGCACAATCGAAAAAATTTTCACGAGCTAAACATTACCGTTCGGTAGTTAGGACTGTTAATTCAAAATTTCATTCGAATCTGTTCAGTAGTTTGGAAAAATTCCTCGATCACTGTGAATTTCGGCCGGTATTGCCATATAAATATGACAAGAAGAAATGAAGGTGAAATTAAAAAAATTTTCACAAGCCAAACATTACTGTTAGCTCCTAATGAATACGTGTACTAAGTTTCATCGAGTTAGGTTCATTAGTTTGAGAGATATTCCTTGATCATTGAATTTGGAAATTGGCCGTGAGACCGGCCGTAAATTTGTCCGAGACGTAAACCTAAAAAAACAGATCTGGGTGAAAAAACCATCGCTGGGAGTCATGTGCTGCACGTGTTGTGTACAAATCGTCAAACAAACGTTGGAACTTCTTACTTTGACTTCGGACTGCCCCCCCCCCCCTATCGCCCTCTTCTTCCTTCCCGCTTTCAAAATCTTTCCACCGCCCCAAGAGGGGCGATATCGCCCACTTTGTGAACCCCTGCTCTACACAGTTACTTACACCAATTTAGTTTTCAGAACTTTTTATGCAGGTAGCGTTCATGTCCCTGTTGACGGATATGTATGATATAAAATATTTCATCATACGGAGGATCAGAATGAAGCACAACGCAAGATGTGACACATTTATTTCATACATTTATTTCACGAGCATCAATACAGATGTTGGAAGAAGGGAATACCTGCATGATATTTACACGGATAACATTGAGCCTAGAACTTATTTAGGAAATAATAAGGTCAAAAATAAAATGGTCTTAATACGAGTAATGAACGTCAATAAAACTTCAGCGCAGGATATGTTTAGTAGTTTAGTGAACGTTATTTGTGACATGATTGCCATGTTTTCTAATAAGCTTTTTCTCTATTGTAATATTAACGGTAGTTTAAAAAAACAGGCATTGAGCTGGAAACTGGGATGATTTAATTGACGTAACAGGCATAACAGGAACAATGTTTCAATGATAATGGTATGAACCACCTTCAGATTATTCAATCTAATTTTATCTTTCGTACATTAGAAACTTTTCAATGGACATTTGGCAAAGCACCTTCTGATTCACGTTGAATCAGCTTAAAAACGAAACCTAATTGTCAATTAATGGGTTAACGCCGCTGAACATGTTGTCAGGGGTGGTAACAAAAAGTCAAACATTTACGAGCATCACTGTCTGAATAGCGCTAGGTAATCTAAAAAATTAAATTAATACATAAAAATACGAGGACTGAAATATAAAAATCAATATAACTCATTAAAGCGTGAATAACTCTTCTGTTAATTTGAGGTACACATTTCGTGTTACATTTGTCTCATAAAAGAAAGTGTTATAATTTAGAAGGAAAACGATATACTTTAGAGGGCAGGGCATCTTTTTCAATGGGATCCTTTCTTACTGAAGGATATCGCCATCCCCTATAAAAAAGAGACAGGTTTTCTCACAGTTGACAGGACTCTGTCAATGAGACAACATTTATGAATGATCGCATTTAATATGCCAGACCGCAGGAGCGGTAATGATATAACTTCCCGTGAGATTTTTAAACGATTCGTCACGGAAAATATCCGATTAGACGATCCCTGGGATTATCTCGGTAAAGGTGAGGTCATCCTTCCTATTTACAGTTTGTGAATAACTTAAAAGTACATACATAAAATATTAACCTAAAATATATGAATGATTACGGTGCACTTTACAGTAAGCCAAAAGGTCATGACATTAATCTACACGTTTCCATGCAAGCAAAAAAGTTACCCAAAATCAAGCCACACCTTTTGCGAACGGAACTAAAGCCTCTAAAAATTAGAATATAAATAAAAATAAGATAGAGAAGCAAGAGGAAGTATAGCACGTTAAAAAAAGCAGATGAAGTGTTGCGTCGTTAAAACATAATCAAATAATGTGATTCTCAGCGAATAAATCGACATGCAAATACGAAACAGTAAAATAAGAAGGAAAGATAATAACTAGAAAATATTAACTTACTAACTTACAATGAACACTACGCATACCATTTGGCGGAATAAGTCGACAACAAGGGAGAGATATTGGATAAAGAATTGCGGAATAAGAGTAAATTAGTTACTTTATAGAATACTGGCACCGTCGTAAGATCTCGGACCATTTCAAGTTCTATTCACATTGAAAATTGAAGAATCGTCGGAAGTTGTAGTGTCATCGTTCGTTCGAGAAATCGTGATGTTACAGAGCATCCACTCAATCACGCTTCCACTCAATTTCATTTACAAAAAACTTCATCACGAAGAAGTGAAACATTACATAAAGTTTGCGGGAAATCACGTATCGTTACAAGTTTCCTAGCCACTATCTTGAACAAAAGCGTATAAAAAAGTTCACTCCCTCTTTCTCTTCATCCTAATCTTCACTTCCTCATTCAAATAATTCAATCAAAACATCTCTTGTTTGTTCCATCAAATAAGTGATAAACATGAAGTTTATAATCCTGACGTCGACACTCGTTCAAAAAGGCCTTCGGAAATAGCCTTTGAGACAATAAGTAGCGCGACCCATTGGAAGGTCCATATTAAATAAGGAGGAAGGAATACATATATACTGAATAAGCAGTTAATTTTCTTGCTCGTCCCCGAGCTATTTTTGTCAGCGTGACTCCGACAGTTTGGCAGGCAAGTATAAAATAGAGCGGCGGTTGGAGTAACCTTCAATAAGCTGAAAATTTCTATAGGCTAATCATAGTACAATTTTGATCAAATCAACACAAAGCTCATAATGTGTGCAACAGTGGAAGAGACTAGTAACTTGTCCAGCATTCAACACTGAGATTCAACGCTTAGAAAATTTACTAGAGAACATCTTCCAGGATGATGATGGCATTCCTAGTTTCATCATAAAGTCAAATACAACGTAGAAATACTTCACAAGGCTGCGTGAGCGCGTCGATTAATACCACAAAATATGACTAAATAGATTAGCGAAAAATGGTTTCCTTACAGCAATCTAAGTAAACTATTGTTCTCGGTACACATTCAGACGTTGGTTCTAACAACTTGAGAGACTAGCTATGAATGAAGATACATATGATGTCATCAGTTCCACAGAACTAAGCGAGGTTTAGTAGATACAGCAATGAACGGAACAATGATGAATGACTACCGTATTCACAAATATGAGAATGGATCATTTATTCAGACAATAAGAAGCGATTATAACAAGTGGAAAAATATTGGGCACAGAAGCGAGTACAATGCGCATGCGCAGCATCTAAGATGACAGTGCGACAACTGGCAACTTCTTCGTCCAGTAACGAATACACAAGTTATTAAACAAGTGAGGCGCATGCGCACTACTCGCGGTTGCCGGCGCGGTGCACGGCGTGGTAGGCGTTGCGGATGAGGGCGTACGGGAAGCAAGCCTCCAGCAGATCCATCGTCAGGAACGGCGACTCCTCCACGATCTGGCGACAAGGACATATAATAAGCAAAAAAAATAATCTAAAGCTCTCGACTGGTGTTGTGATCTCAAAGAAATGTATCGTGAAATACATGATAATACAAAAATTGTCTTGAATAATAACAAAATAATTGTGAGCATTGAGAAAATAGTTCAGCTTGTTCGTCAGACAATTGAGTAACACAAGACACACCTGATGCAGGAGGATGTATGTAGTCACACCTGATGCAGGAGGATGTAGGTAGTAACACACCTGATGCAGGAGGATGTAGGCAGTAACACACCTGATGCAGGAGGATGTAGGCAGTAACACACCTGATGCAGGAGGATGTAGGTAGCGTCGCGGTTGCGCACCACTTCCTTGTCGTTCTCCTTGCCCAGGCGCAGCAGGCTGGATGAAGCCAACTGTCATGCACGAACAAAAACATCGCAACATATGATAAATGTGGCAATAAAATATTAATAAAGGCAAAATGATTAAATATTTTAATATATTGGCAATTTATTAAACATCTTCTAAGCCTGAAATCAATGCTATTTGAAATGTTACAAAGCGAGGGGTGTTTTTAATGTGAGTACTGTTTTGATATAGAAAACAAGTAGATTTTTGCAGAAAAATTCTATATTTATTTAGTTAATTCATAATAGTAATGTTAGTAAAAAATGAATTTTGTAATTGTTTAAATGCCATATTTTACTTTAATTTTCTACATAATTTCCATTAACCATTAATATTAAGTCATTTATCGTATCTTGGGACCAGCTTTTGTATGGCATCGTCAAAGAAGCTCGCCGCTTGATCAGACAAACACTGCAAACAAACATGTTTGTTTCACTGTTTGTTTCACCGATGAATGTTTGAATGTCACTTCCTCCCCGTCCTGTATGTTTCTGCAGTGGTTAATGTAGGAATGATGTAGCTGCATGCGCGTCGTGCAGCTACATCATCATACGTCATTTTAACTAGGACGGCAGCGTAGTTAAAAAATATAACTCAGTACTCACTGCAGTGAGTGACAGAGAGCGCATTTTCTCGTCGACGAAAACTTGAGGTCACGGACAGACGGACAGACGGACAGACAGACGGACATGGCGAGCACAATAGTGCATTTTTTCCATAAATGAGAAAATGCGCTAAAAACAGTACTTACGTTCGAAACACGTCTCATAAATGGCAAATAACTGGCCATATTTAAGGCAGCGTTACACTATTGTTCCTTTATTTGCCAAGATGATATAATTATCCTATTATTAATTAATCCTCAATAGGAGATAATTACAGCAAGGAACTCCTTGAGTCGCTCCTCGATGTCCTGCGCGCGGCCGCAGACGGTGAAGAGCGCAGCGAAGAGCGCGTTGACGGCGGGCGCGATGCAGTGCGAGTTGTTCGCGTGCGCTGCGTACAGCGGCTTGTACACCTGCGCATGAGACCACAGAGTTATGCGTATACACCTGCGCATGAGACCATCGAGTTATGCGCTGTGCTCGATGAGCAAGATAAATGCAACAAATACGGGACACAACATACGGCGGCTCTGTACCACAACAGGACTGCAGACCTCAGCACAAGGAACATTACTGAAGCGAAATGTTTCTGCAAGGCATAATCATCAGCACACAACACATCACAGAACACAACACAACACAGAACACAACACACAAGACAGAACACAACACAACACGACACGAACACAACACAGAATACAACACAAGCCACTACACAGGAGCGCTGTATACTGACGGTGGTCTCGCTGCGTGCGAGGCGCGGGATGGACACGGCCACGAACACCATCAGCAGACACGTCAGGATGAACTCTTCTTCTGGAGACTCTGCAATACATTGTAAAATTATTCCTCAGATGCATTGTCCACACATTTATCACAAGTAAAAGTATTCCTCATAAACATTGTGCTCACATTTATCACAAGTAAAATATTCCTCATAAACATTGTCCACACATTTATCACAAGTAAAAGTATTCCTCATAAACATTGTGCACACATTTATCACAAGTAAAATATTCCTCATAAAGATTGTCCACACATTTATCACAAGTAAAAGTATTCCTCATAAACATTGTGCACACATTTATCACAAGTAAAATATTCCTCATAAAGATTGTCCACACATTTATCACAAGTAAAATATTCCTCATAAACATTGTGCACACATTTATCACAAGTAAAATATTCCTCATAAAGATTGTCCACACATTTAGCACAAGTAAAATATTCCTCATAAACATTGTGCACACATTTATCACAAGTAAAATATTCCTCATATACATTGTGCACAAATTTATCACAAGTATCAACTGGTAAACTCTCTAGACTTCTGTACACTTCATGGCAAAAGCCAGAATGGTAATGAAGTTACATTGCCAAGATTTGCTCCATTGTAAAATTTTTTCGTAGTCAAAAGTTACTCAAAATAACCCATTACCTCAGCGGACTCATTAAACGTTGAGAGTTTACGTTGAATTACCTTTCAATTCACAAACAAAAATTATTAAAATAAAAAATATAAAGCAGCATTTTACTCACGTGGTATGAATCGTGAAAATATAATAATAGAAATTTCAGGACATTATTTTTTAATTTGCTTGCAACACTTCATACGTGTGGATAAAGCAATGGAATGTTAGAGCGAGGATAAAAGTTCTTACACGTAACGATCAGGGTTAATAAATGCGAGTTTAAAAGCGTGATTACAAGCAGAGATGAAAAGATTATCAGAGGTTGTTTAGAGACTCCAATCACCTCAGGTTTTTGAGTAAGTATTGGATATTTCGGGCGCATTACCAGAAGTAGATAGGCAATTACACACAGAGATTAACCTATACCTACATAATTGCCTTGACTAAACCTCAATGTCGCTAGGTAAATACGAACCTAGGTAGGCATGAGACTAATACTACATAATGTCTTTAGCAAGTATTTCTAAAATTCAGACTGCTTACTAGAAATAGTTACAGAAGTAGATAGGCACTTAAAGAAGTAGATATGCAATTGTAGAAACACATAGGCAATTATTAAGAGAGACTGACCAGACTTTTGCGCCCTCAGGCTGGTCACAAGAGCAGGGTCAACGTCGCAAGGGAAGCCCGCAGCAGACGACATCTCTGCCACCAACTGCAACACATAAATGACATTCAAGATGATTAGAACTTTGTTATAATTAACACTTATTAAATAACTGTAGTGGTGAAGGTGATGAGTTAAATTAGATGAGTTGAGATTCTTTAACTTTAGCATAAACTCTTCGTTTGTCACGTGAACAATGTCTGAATGTTTGACTATATAATTGATCTTAAAAACATGTTTCGTCACTGGCTTCAACAGTGAACCTTAAGAGTCAAAACTAATCATCACTGGAGATGATAGTATTATTTAACGCACAATATGTGGCACCTAATGACTGGGCATATGCAGTGCCCTGGCATGAGCTATGATCTGACATCATGACATGATTACTTGAGCTATAAATTGACATGAGCTATGCATTGACATGAGAAGTGAATTGACATGAGCTATGCATTGACATGAGAAGTTAACTGACATGAGCATTTCCTTCGAGACAAGTAATTCTTCAACACAGACAAGCATGGGCACAATAATGGTTATTAATGCAACAAAATTGTATAATTACAAGAATTAATAATGCAATAACACACCGCAAGCACCCAAGAATAAAGAAAACAGAGCAAATCCGAAACAATATCCCAAACAGGTTGTATTATAAATAACTCAAAATATCCTCGTGAAAAACGAAGCGGGTGATAGTCGGCCGACCGTGGCCGCCGATAAACGGCCAAGTCTCCCAGCTTGCGTTCACACACGAGCTTGTGTACACACACGAGCAGTGTGTATGGCAATGTAAGCCACACATTCTACAGCCTCAAGTCGACGTAAAATATGAAATAAAGCGGAGCAAAAACATGAGCAAACCTTTAATAAAATGTGCACTTTGTTTTAAATAAAGAACTATGCCATTTTGGAAAGTGCATGTTAGCATGGTTTCCCATACAATAAACAGGACACATTATCTGCTTGAAGTTGAACAATAGATATGAATTACTAGAAGCTCAATGCTAAACTAAGCGACTATGCGTGCAAACTCTGAAGCAGCTTGCATTGCTCGGCATGACGCACATGACCAAGCTGTTATATTTGATGAATCCAAATACTAGCCTAAAATTTTCTAGGTTAGCAGAGAAATATATTAGTCAAGAGTAAAACCAGCACCCAGTAGAGAAGCAAGCAAGTAAATCGCCAATAAAAAAAATATTTATAAAATAGAAGGCCAATTTTTATAAGTTTCATCCAAGAGCCCCTATAGAAGGTGCGCAAGTTTATAGATGATATCGTCACCACAACGCACTAATAAGCGAGTAAAGTATGCGTACTAATCCCACCCAAACGCATTGTAAAGTGTGCAAAAAACGCTGACGCTAGTATAACTCAGGAGAGTGCAAAATTCTGTTCTGAACGCCCCACTAATGGCCGAGAGAATGTAAAGTGCATTACACGTGGCAAACAACACTGTAAGGATTGCACGTGGCAAAGAACTCTATGAAAATTGCACGCGGCAAACAACACAGTAAGGATTGCACGTGGCAAAGAACTCTATAAGATATGCACGTGGCAAAGAACTCTATAAGATATGAACGTGGCAAAGAACTCTATGAGAATTGCACGTGACAATAAGAATGGCACGGCGTTGAGCACAATGCAGACACGAGAGCACCCAGTGCACCCAAGACAGTAAGTCTGACCTGCGTTCGTATGCCTTCAATCTGACAGCGACAGCGGCAGCCACGTTTGTAGGAGGTACGGTACACATTCAGTTATTGAATCACTTTAGTTCAGTCATTGAATCAGTTAAGTTCAGTCATTGAATCACTTCAGTTTATATATTGAATCAGTTAAGTTCAGATATTGAATTACTCATTTAGTTTAAATATCGCCAAAATGGCAAATGACGCTAAAAGAACTGAGATTCAACGCAAATTAAGTAGCAATTGACGTTAAAACAACGGAGATTGAACGTTATTTCAACGTCAAACACCAGTTGGTAAGTTTCTTGTACAAGATGAATATTTTGTTTCGTGAAGAAGAATCCTTTGTTCTACGTAAGCTCAATTTACAATTTAGTTCTATTTTAAAAAATTACCGTCAAAAGATTACATTTGACCCAAGTAGATTTGGCTCCTAGGGCTTGTGTTATGGTAGATGATTGCTTAATGCAACACAGAATAACGCTAAAAAAATAAAACTTATGTAACACGTAATCTAGTAAATAGTCAACGGCCACAATCTTTCATGTACCGCAGTACATTCGGTTGCCTTAAGTCTTTACCGTCGATCAAATAATCTCCCATTAAAAATTTATTAAGCTAAGAAAATAAAATTTTTATTTAAATTACATGAATTCTTGAATAATTAATTGAGTTATAAGAGGCAGCAACAAATATAGTGATTAGTAGTAACATCCTAACATCATCCCTTAACAAGCGTGTAATTTAGCCCAAGACTTTACCATAAAAAAGCGTTATGTTGCAGCAAATGTACGACGATTTCAGTTATTAATGCATAGGTAAAATTATTTAAAGCACAATTAATGTTGAAGGAAATTAGGAGTGAGTCTTGGAGGCTGTAAACATTATTTCCTTGCGATCAGTTGAGTGGACAGAAAACAGTGTAGTTGTGATGACGTAAGTGATGCCTAATGTACGCACTTATCACCACACCATCCCCATCTTTTTTTTTCGTCACAACCATATTGTAACAAACACACCACACATCACCACCACACACCACACGTCACCAACACACCACAAGTCACCACACACCATATTGTCGCCGTTGGGCACGTGATGCCTGAAGTCAGCGATGGAGGATATAAGGAAGGGTATCACCACACGTCACCACACCACACGTCACCACACCGCACGTCACCACAACACCACACACCATATTGTCGCCGTTGGGCACATGATGCCTGAAGTCCGCGATGGAGGATATAAGGAAGGGGATCCTAGCCTCGAGGACGTCATTGAGCGCCTCCCGCGCCAGCTGCCGGAATCCCAGGATGGCGCCGATGATCTGCATGCGTGACAGCACGTTGTCCACGCCTGCACGTATAATGATATCGCTGTAGATCTCTCACTATATTGACAAATTCTGTAGCCTGGCTTTAATTTAGTTTATAATGTTCGCAACAGAATAGGGGATAGAACGTGTGTTGCAGGAGATATTTTATACCGGTATATAATTTCTTTGATCTTTCTTTGGCTTGTTTTTTCATTGTATTTAGTCACTGCCCAATATAACAAAAGAGTTAATAATATTTATTCAATTAAATTGATCGTAAAAAGTTTATAAACGTACACTGCAGCTTCTTGAAGAGCTCCTTCATTTGTTCAGGCTTGTCAAAGTTGGTGCGCATGGAGAGCAGCACGTCTCTGTTCAGCACCACCAGTTTCTGCAACAATCCTCAACGTTTATAACAATTTACTAATCATTGTAATTATATTATTAACCTACTCAACGTATCCTCAAAAGAAACAATTCGGATAAATGATAAGTTAAGGTGTAGGTGCTAATAAACAATTCGAACAATTGGCTCATGTTTGAGGATGGAAACCAGTGTTCACCGCAAGTAAAATGTTCAGCGTAGCATGGCTTCATCCTGACTCCAAAGCACTCACCTTGAGCTCTAAGACCTGGGTAGAGATATGGAACATAAGGTTCTCTTTGCGAGCCCTCATGCCATATGGTCCTATAAGCTCTTCCATAGCACTCACCTTCAGCTCTAAGACCTGGTTAGAGATATGGAACATGAGGTTCTCATTGAGAGCCCTCATGCCATACGGTCCTATAAGCTCTTCCATAGCACTCACTTTGAGCTCTAAGACCTGGTTAGAGATATGGAACATGAGGTTCTCATTGAGAGCCCTCATGCCATATGGTCCTATAAGCTCTTCCATAGCACTCACCTTGAGCTCTAAGACCTGGTTAGAGATATGGAACATGAGGTTCTCATTGAGAGCCCTCATGCCGTACGGTCCTATAAGCTCTGCAAGGGCGCGCATCTCGTTAACATCGCTGTACTCCTCAGCAGAGAAGTGCTGCACCGCCTCCGACGTGAGCGACACGAACGCGCGCTGAGTCTTCGAGTACACGATCTGGCCCGACGACACCCGTCGCAGCAACACGTCGCTATACCTGAGAAAATAGAAAATTTTGTTCACGATTTGCGTCTTTTTACGACTTGCACCCCACCAAGAATGAAATTTGTACAAAGTTTGAGTATATGAAAAAATTAATATTTTTATGCCCTATCACAATGAATAGAGCGGAATTTGCTGAAGTGATTTGAAAATTATAACATGTTTTTCTAAGCAGGTACGAATTAAAAATTATACCTTCTCAGTATAATGATATTCAGTGCAATACGTAACATTAAAAATATTTTTAAAACACTTTAAGTGCACTGGTAAACAGGATACAGTAACCATAATAATGGTAGGACACTCCTAAACATGTTACAGTAACCATTATAATAGTAGGACGCTGGTAAACATGATACAGTAAGTATAATAATGATAGGACGCTGGTAAAAATACAGTAGCAATATCCTGATCAAGTCTCAGTAAGCATATAGTTCCTGACCATGAGTTGTAGAGAGCGGTGATGGTCTTCTCGCCATGACTGTCCTGCTGCTGCGTCTGCTGCAGGAGTACGTTGTTGAACACTCGCGTGATGTCCAGGTGCACTGTAATAAAAGCCTTCATTAACTTCACTTCAGGGTATTCAATTCACTTCAGAGTATTTCAATTAACTTTGGAGTACTCACTTCGCTACCTACACATGCAACGCAACCGTTCACTATACGTGTGCACAAAAGAAATACCCTAATATACATTTCAAAATTACTTTTTAAAGACAACACTTCCAAAGAATCCAGTGCCTCCAATCTTACAGATGTACAATGAATTTCTCATTCAATTTTCGAATATTAAAAAAATTAATTTTTCAATTTTTTAATATATAATTTTTTTTCAAAATTTATTCTATTAATTGATTCATGCATTGCCTCTGACTTCACACAAGTGTGCAAAATTTCAGATCAATTAGACAGGTAAAAGTGTGTAAAATATCAGTTATAAGATTTGTAGCTGACAAAATTCTTCTTTCAATTATTTTAATATAGATAAAAAATTTTATTTTTATTTTTAAAATAATCTATTTTGACATTTGATTCATGCATCGTCTCCAACTTTACACAAGTGTGCAAAATTTCAGATCGATAGGATAAGTAGAAGTGTGTTAAATTTCGATTACATGATTTGTAGCAGACAAACAAACAAACAAACAACAAGAAGTGACGTTAAAGAGAAGTGTTGTAGAAAGCATCATATCTTAGTCTCTATGTTAATGATGTAAGAAATTAATATGATTGGAATTATTTTGCCGTTCATAAGAGGAATTATTAGGATTAGAATTATTTTGAAAAAAAAAATAAATAACAGGCGTTCACAATATGAAGGTTTCAACATAGCCGGTGCAGCGATGCGTTTTGGTGGGGAGTAAAAGAGTTTATGATTTAGCCATTGCTATTGTGCCACACGGACAGTGTATTTTTATTGTTCAGACACAATCTGTCAATTTATACACATTGTTCCCAATGATATTAATTAGTTATCCAGGTATGTGAATAAAGTCCAAGTGTTCTAGTCCAACTTCAGATGTTGTTTCCAGTTAAAGTTCATTAATATATTATATATATTTTATATAAATATATGTATAGGCTATCATCGTTGCTTGCGCTACATACTAGAGCTATAATGCGTAGCAAAAACTTTTGCACGTGATTGGATGCCTGACTAAAGATGGATACATTGCAAGTCATGAATCTAGAGCTGATATAATAGAGATAGACATATACAATTGGATGGTTTCTCCAAGCTGCTTATGGAAGTCTACGATATAATTCATACAAAGGTAATAATATAGTCCTGATGTTAGTTGGAGAAGTTATACCGTAGTTTTCGATGCTCTGCAAGACGGTCATGTAGCTCCTGACGCAGACGAGCAGCTCGGACGGCTTGGCGATCTCGTAGGTCTCTGGATTGTACATCACCATACCGACGAGGGCCTTAGCGAACCTGTAAATAAGTCTTGTTTCCATTATTACGATCATTATTGTGACGTAATTGTTACCAATTAGACGAACAACTAAGCTGTATTTTCCCCATGCAAACTTTTGCAATTTATTATTTTGTCCATAGTTATATTAACCGCAATAAAGTACATATTTATCTAATAGTCAGGTTTTATTTCTATGGTCCTCTAAAGTGCCAAGGTGAAATAAGGTCACCGGAACACTCTAAGATCAATAATTAACAAACAGTTCATCAGTACACATTGCGAGGGATTGCAATTCAATAACGGTACAATGGTAAGTGCATCGCAGCTCGACTAATGTAGTAGCCTGCCTCAGCTTAACGGCAGCACGAATGGCATCTCCCACAAAGTGGGCGGCTTATGAAGCATTGATCGCATATTTAATAAATGAACAATTGTCTCAATAATATCTCACCGTCATAAAAGGCTACTATTGACGTCTTCACTGCTACTCGATCTTTTGCTTCGCATATTACTACAACTCACAGCTGATTGATTTACAGATGGACAATAGGTTCACTACAACATCGCACTAATATCACACCACACCAGTACACCACAGCACCAAAATCACACCACCACACCTCACCGTAGTTTGATAAAGAGAAATACACCAGGTACACCACAACATCGCTACCTCACCACACCATTACGATACCCTACCAGACTGAAGACCACGGCACCAGAAGACCACGGCACCAGAAGACCACGGCACCAGAAGACCGCGACACCAGAAGACCACGGCACCACAAGACCACGGCAACAGAGGACCACGGCACCAGAAGACCACGGCACCAGAAGACCACGACACCAGAAGACCACGGCACCACAAGACCACGGCAACAGAAGACCACGGCAACAGAAGACCACGGCACCACAAGACCACGGCACCACAAGACCACGGCACCACAAGACCACGGCACCACAAGACCGCGGCACCACAAGATCACGGCACCACAAGACCACGGCACCAGAGGACCACGGCACCACATGACCACAGCACCAAAAGACCGCGGCACCAGAGGACCACGGTACCAGAAGACCACGGCACCACAAGACCACGGCACCGTAGGTACCCTCACCGCTGCTCGATGTTCTGGTAGAGGTACTCGCGGGGAGCGAAGGTGTACTCCCACACCTGCACTTGGCTGCAGTAGTTGATGGCGAAGCACAGCTCCGTGAGCGCCATGTGCAGCTTGTCCATCCTGTACACGTCACACGCATTACAGAGACTAGTAAAAACGGACCAAACTTCATTAACCGATGAGAATCACGCCATACATTGGCTCTAGATGAACATAATCATGCTAGCAGTTAGTGAATACTGCCAATGTTCACTTCAAAGCCACTCAGAATCTCACGGAATTTTAGTAATCTGCAAATAAAGTTTCCCAAAAAACAAATCCCAACTTCCAAAAAGTACTAAACTTATTTCGGGCGCTTAATAAAAGTTATCTGTCAACAAACCAGAAGCAGTTATTTCTCGCAGAGTTAGAATGTGACAGAGAAGATTGCTCACGTGGTAAGGTCCTCCCTGGAGTGGCGGTAGCTCTCATGGCCAGGCTTCTGCTCCTCGACTTCGTTCTTCTTCTTCTTCTCTTTCTTCTTGCCGCTGAAGAGAGCCCGGACGCTGTGCTTTGGCAGCAACTGCAGTACAATCATCAATAAGTGACATGTTGCTAACAAATTACAGTACGTGAAAATAAAAATTAATTCTTTGGAGTCACGAAAAAATATGATATTCAGATGCTCGTGCAAAATCGGATTCTAAAGCACACGTGATCTAATATGCAGAAGGAGTTGAACACCAAAAGAAATTACTCAGTATTGCCATCTTACACACAAAAAGCGTTACTCATTCCGAGAAGACATCACTCATCTCAAAATATTCAAATTAAGTGCAAATAAGACCTAATCACTATTGATAGACCACCACCCTGTTAAGACTAGGAAGCATCACCTTGTCGGCGAGGTTGCACTGCTCATCACAAATGATGGTGATAATGTTCTTGGCTTCCTTGGCCATCTCCTCCAGGAACAAGTTCACCACAGACAGACTGCGCTCGCGGATGTGGTAGCGCTGCGAACAATAATGTTTATTAACATAATTATGCTATATTGTAGGTACATATTACCCTAATTTGGGCACCTTAGAGCCTTTGTTTAACATTCTGCACAGGCCGCTCACAGTTTAGTTTCAGCACACAGGATTAGGTTGAAGATGAGATTTCATCGCAGGTTTGCTACGATTAAAATATATGAGATAGGATGTGGTGCAATTCTAACGCACCCAAATATCTTGACGATAAATCACAGCAGGATGGACAATCAAGAACAGCTTTTTGAATGAACATCAAGAATAGAAAAATAAAAAAAAACTAATTCACAGCCTATAAATTCTTGGTCCAATTTCGATCCAAGCAGACTAATCTACAGTAAAAAGCAGACTAATCTGCAGTAAAAAGCAGACTAATATGCAGTAAAAAGCAGACTAATCTGCAGTAAAAAGCAGACTAATCTGCAGTAAAAAGCAGACTAATCTGCAGTAAAATGAAATGAATGAAATACATTATGCAGAATGAATGAAATACATTATGAATGACTTAGCAATTCGTATTTTTTAATAAAATGCATTTCGATGCAAGCAGACTAGACAGATGATATAGGCTATTGGTATTTGCTACAGTGAAGGAAATGCCCGCACCTCCTCAGGACAGACGGAGTGCGTGCAGGACTGCATGTGGGAGCAGATGAGGGGGAAGGCGATGATGTAGCGGTTCTGCGCTGGGAACTCCAGGCACATGTGGAAGTTGTCTTCGAACTGCTTGCTGAAGAAACTGCAAGAGAAGACGTCACATCACCAGATGGGTCGTTATGACTCACATCACCAGATATGTAATTATGACACACATCACCAGATAGGTCATTATGATTCACATCACCAGACAGGTCATTATGACTCACATCACCAGATAGGTAATTATGACACACATCACCAGATAGGTTTTTATGACTCACATCACCAGATAGGTTATTATGACTTGTTGGAAATGAGTCGAGTTTCAGGATAAAGCCAGTATATCATGCAAAGGCACCGATTATGGAGTTGCATCTTATGAAAATTTACAGCAAGGCTGGCCTTAAATACAGCAGCTCAAGAAACCATTCATTCTTCAACTTAAGCGATAATCTATCAACTTGAGAGACATTCCACCAACTCAAAAGACAATCCACAAACATAGGAGACAATCTACCAACTCATGTGACAATCCACCAAAAAAGAATCCAGCAACAATTCTCACCAGAAGATGCTGAGGTCGGAGGTCTCTAGGACGACCTCGTCTATGTTGTCGATCATCTTGGTGTGGAAGACGACCTGGTTGAGTAGGGTTGGCAGCTCCCGCCTCTCCTTGAGTACGATGCCGTTACTGTTACTGCCTTCCACTGCTGCGCGCGTGCAGTAGACCTGCAGTCTAAACCAGTCCAGCCGCAGTCCCGCGAAGTCAAAAGCGCAACCCTCTTCAACTGTAAAATGTCAGCATCATGAATAACAGGAAGTTTCCGTGAATCAGAACGACTTCATTTGTACAATTTCATCTCATTCATAGGTGCAGTTAAAAATTACTCTTAAAATAATGTCAATATCATCATCAAAACCAGTGGTTCCCAAAGTGGGCGATATCGCCCCCCTGTGAGCGGTGGAAAGATCTGGGGGGGTCTCTTATACAC